AAAATCGCGGCTCTGCGGCCGTTTTTTGCGAAGTTATTCACCAAAAACTGAACCGTACCTTGGGGCACTTGACCTGACCTCAGAGGTCACCCACCGGTTGACCTAGGACCTTAAAATCGGGTACCAATCTCTGCGTCTCGTAACGGCGCACACGCTCGTTTTTTCCGCGACGCGCTAGCTTCACCAGGGGCGAAACGGCGAGGGGGTGGTCGTACCCCCCCCCCTCGGCTGGCGCGTATGTAGAAAACCAATAGGTCCGGCGAGGGTTAATCATATTATAACTATAACTATAACTTAATATGATTATAACTATAACATATATAATATGTAACTGATATAATTATAACTTAATGGGCGCACGCTAAACTTGGGACTCCAAAATTCTGCCATAGAACCGGAATAGCGCGATCGGGCAGGGTCAACGCAACAAGCTTCGCTTACGGGGGGCTTGTGAATCCTTCCATTCAAAACGTTCGGACTAAATTAAAAAAAGTTAATCAAAGTTCACTTAATTTTGAGTGAATTTTGAAGTTCACTAAAATTGGTAAAAAAGCATACCGCTCGATGCGCATTGATGTGATGAGTTCACAGGTGCTCTTTTGTTCTATCGTCACTGCCCAAAAGTTATAGGCGAAAGACTTTTATGCTCCCAAACCCCCCCCCCCCCTAAATATTGACCTATAGTCACCAAATATGCATAGAGGCGAGATATTCTATGGGCCCACCTACTCTGAAAATTCGTTTCTAAGTGCCATAGGAGCCAATCTCCAGGGGATCGTACCCCCTCGCCGTCACCGTCATGAAAAGTCCCTCGCCTGGCGAGGGTTAAAAGAGCTAAAGAAATCGGTTTTCTGCAACGTTGTGGCTCTGTTGGTTCACGCCAATGTGTTTAAAATGTCAGAAATTGAGAGCATATGATCTTTCATGATCTCGTTCGGTGACCATACACTGACCAGAGGAAAGATTAACTTATTATTATAGTGAAATAACTGTCTGATTACGGAGCGAGCGAAGCAAGCGTAGTCTTTCCTTAGATCAACGGAAATTTCTGAGTGCGGCCGGCCGGCCGGCCGTGCGGACGCTTTTGCGAGGCTTATTCATCCCTCGCCGGACCAATTGGTTTTCTACATACGCGCCGGCCGAGGGGGGGGGGGGGCGGGTACGACCCCCCCCCCCCTCGCCGTTTCGCCCCTGGTGGAGCTAGCGCGTCGCGGAAAAAACGAGCGTGTGCGCCGTTACGAGACGCAGAGATTGGTACCCGATTTTAAGGTCCTAGGTCAACCGGTGACCTCTGAGGTCAGGTCAAGTGCCCCAAGGTACGGTTCAGTTTTTGGTGAATAACTTCGCAAAAAACGGCCGCAGAGCGCCGATTTTGGCAGCATCGTGTTCGCCTTGCTCAGGCGCGTCGAATGATATACTTTTTGTCCGGGTCAGGTCAACTTTGGGTGTTGACCTCAGGTCAAGGTCAGGTCAGCACCCCCAGGTCACGAAGTTGGTCGAAAGAGGTCATGTCGCATATCATTCGATTCGGCAGGCCTTCCTGAGTTCATTGGTGGCTTTCGCGACTCGCTAGCTTAATTTGATCGGAGTTATTGACGAAAAACTAATTTGACCTTGATGACGTCATAAATGACGTCACGCAAGGTCAACATTGCAAAAGTGACGCATCTAACCTTGCAAGGAGTGCATCAAATCACATCACGATTCTGTGTGCTTGAGATAGTTGGAGATCGTTCCCGGCGCCAGAATAGCAGTTTTCATTTTTCCCCATTGACTTTGTATAATGGTGAGGTCACAAAAATGACCTGACCTGATATGACCTTTAGGAAAAATCCGAGATATACAAGTTGTGAGACTCATAATGGATACTAGATCCTGCAAGGTTCATTTCCCTGTGACATATCCTCTGGCAGTGAGGGCGTTGCGAAGTTGCGACATCTGAAGACCGTGCAGAGGTTCACTTATGACGTCATAGGTCAGTGACCTGACCTGACCCAAAAATGCGGTTGGTGTCAGAAGATCCGGCTTGGATCAAAGGTCAGGTATGTCAAGTTTCAGCTCTCTATCGCCAGCGTGTTCGGAGCTATCGCGAAAAAAACCTATGGGGGGGGGGGCGGCACCCGCCTCCCCCCCCTCGGCCGGTGAGGGTTATATCTCAGCAACCGCTTGACCGATTTACATGCGGTAATTTTTGTAGGGTAGCTTCATTCCTTCTACCAAGTATTGGACTATTCCTGATGCATGTGGGTGACCCCTTATGCACGTGCCACGTGTAAAACGAAGAGGTGTCAGTTTTGTAATTGTTGCAATATCTCGGTAACTACTTGGCCGATTGCGCTGAAAGTTGGCATGTAGGTAGGCACCCACTAGGCACTGCATACCCATGTGCCAGAGTTGGGGTGCTGCTGCACGTGCGCACGTGCAGGGGTCGTTTCCAGATCTCGAGAACGGCTCAACTGATCAAGCGCTCAAATTTGGTACACAGTTAGGGATCGGTTAGTAGGGTGCCGTGCACAAGTCGATTGGGACCCATTTTGCACGTGCGCACGCCGCACGTGCAGGGTGTTGCTACCAGATCTCGAGAACGGCTGGGCCGATTGTGCTCAAATTTGGCACATCGCTAGAGACCGGTTAGTAGGGTGCCATGCATAAGTCAGTTGGAGGTACCCCCTAGAAATTTCGCACGTGCAAGGCTCACCCTCTCGCTCGCTCCGTTAGTCGCCCCACAAGGCGTTATAGGGGAAGCCGGGGGAAGCCCGGGCGCGGGGGAAGCCCGGCCACCCCGTTTCCGGCTAAATTATTCGCAATAAAATGCTCAACTGTTTGTCCTTTCAGCTTGGCAGCTAAGGTAACGCCAGCAAAAAAGTTAAGGCTGACAAAAATTGCATATTGTTAAAGTTATAGCGCAAAAATGATATTTTAGGGGGTTTTAGCTAAAAAGTGAGATATGTTGCACTGTTAATGTTATACCATACAGTACTAATATTTATACGAATGTTATGTAAGGACCGTTTAAGTGTTTGTAGTGAGGGGTGACGAGGCAGGCTGGCTCAAGTATGACATTTTTTTCGAATATCGCTGTTCTAAAATAAAAATTAGCACATTGGGGTAACCCCGGGCGAGTGGCCAAGCTTACCCCCAACCGAGAGCAATGCCACTAAACCACTGTTTTCCATGAGATAATAGGTACTGAGCAGGTTTGGTTTACACGTAGATCAAAGATAAATTTCGAAAATAAACATGTTATCATAGACAAAGCCAGTCATGTCACTTAAGGTCAAGTAGGGTCAAACTACGTTTTTGCAGATAACGCGACAGACAATGAAGCTAGAGCTTCAAAAATGGTGTCGTTGTGTTCTTCTTCATCAGCCGAGTCGAATGATATGCAATATGATACATTAAGATAAAAAGAAAAATAAATTTTAAGGAATTTTGAAATACACATTTTTTGTCAATTTTGCATCACGATTTTCATCGACCTGTACTGTATATGTAGTAGACGGTAGCTAAAATACCAGTAGTGACATAAACTCTAAGATGTCCAGAGCTAATCAGTACCTTAATATTTCACTTTCCGTTAATATTTGGAAAACACATAATGGTTTCATCAACTCGTTGTAAAGCGCTGGGGAGGTGGCCGGCGTTACCCCTATGCCGGGCTTACCCCAGAAAAATCAACACTTTTTTAAAACTCGATTTTCTCAACCTTATACTTATTCCACGAAACCGAATTTTTGGGAAAACACGGCCAATGAACTTAGCTAGCTAGCAGGATATCAACATTTTATACAGCACGTATGGTACCTATGTAATAAAAATGAAAAAGAGCTTACTATGCCGGGCATCCCCCGGCTTCCCCTACTGGTAATAATCGGTCTCTATTTTTGTGTCTTACTGTCTCTATTAATTGTCGAGCTAAATGGACGTGATTATAAATGTGATTACACATAATCCTATCACTCGTATCAGCAGCTGACCGTTCTTACTAGTTCAAAAACATCTTTTGTCTTTTTGTATGCTATATTTTTGACATATACCTAATCAAAGCATAGGTGGTCCAGCCTCGAGTACGACGAAGATCAGCTTATAACTACCGTCCAATAAAGTAAAATAAATTAGGTGAAGGTTGACATCAACACAAACACTAAGTTGTTTTTCTTGTCTCTACACGAACGGTTATCATTAATCTGCTTCTGAGACAGGTCACACAAATGCAACAAAGTTTAAGACAATCGCATCGAAGTCTATAAAGACTTCGAAAGACCAGAATAGGATACCTAACTTATCATTTTTGTTGCCACACCGGATAAGCAATATAAGTCGTCTACCTGTACTAAATTACATTCCAAAAATGCACTCTGGTTACATGCAACTCACCACAGACACAGAAGCATCAAAACAGTCATGGTTACGGAGCGAGCGAAGCGAGCGGAGTCTTACGTAGAATAACGGAAAGTTCTGAGTATGAGCGGCCGGCCGGCCGTGGTCACGATTCTGCGACGCTATATCTCAGCAACCACTTGACCGATTTACATGCGGTAATTTTTGTAGGGTAGCTTCATTCCTTCTACCAAGTATTGGACTATTCCCGATGCATGTGGGTGACCCCTTATGCACGTGCCACGTGCAAAACGAAGAGGTGTCACTTTTGTAATTGTTGCAATATCTCGGTAACTACTTGGCCGATTGCGCTGAAAGTTGGCATGCAGGTAGGCACCCACTAGGCAATGCATATCCATGTGCCGGAGTTGGGGTGCTGCTGCACGTGCGCACGTGCAGGGGTCGATTCCAGATCTCGAGAACGGCTGGACCGATGGCGCTCAAAGTTGGTACATGGCTAGGGACCGGTTAGTAGGGTGCCGTGCAAAGGTCAGTTGGGACCCATTTTGCACGTGCGCACGTGCAGGGTGCCGCTTCCAGATCTCGAGAACGGCTGGGCCGATTGTGCTCAAATTTGGCACATCGCTAGAGACCGGTTAGTAGGGTGCCGTGCACAAGTCAGCTGGAGGTACCCCCTCGAAATTTCGCACGTGCAAGGCTCACCCTCTCGCTCGCTCCGTTAGTCGCCCCAAAAGGCGTTATACTGGTATTACATACAAGGCGTCATCAGTATCTGGTCATATTCCTAGCCAGGTCAGCAGGGTGCGATCACTTGGTTGAACTTATTTTGCAGGTAAGATTTCACATTTGCTTTAAATGTTTACCTAAAATAATACAGCTTTAAATGCATCCTATAGGGAAATAATTCCAATAAACTATACCAAGGCCACAAGAAGTGCAAGCATCCTTCGTAAACACATATCCCTCCGATTGCTAAAGAACTGCCTTCAAAATAACCTAACTGATAATGCAAAAGCATTTCAGTCTTTACATAGCAGCGAACTAAAGCTCATCCAAATGTTTCTGATCTTCAGTCATGTGGTCGTCATCTCGCTGAAAGCCCTCCATGGACTTGGGTCGGCCTCGCTGCTCGTGCTTTGCCTGTCGCAGCGTCTTCTTCAGCATCTTCTTGTCGTTGAGGTCCAGCTTGCCGTCGAAGTAGGTGTGGTTGATCTGGTCGATGAACGTGCTGACCTTGTCGGGCAGCTGGCGAACGTCCTTGCTCTCCTGCTCCTCCCGCTGATGCTCAGTCACGATGTCTTTCAGCGGAGTCACAGAGTTAATGCCAAGGAACTTCTTAAAGCGACGCATGACAAAGTCGACCACCTCGTAGTCGTTCGGCTGCTTTGTGACGTCATTCTTCACCTGTTCGAAGCCTTTCAGGATGATTGTAAGCAGCACCTGCAAAAAAATACGCTTCTTTAAGAAACAAGATGACAGGGCCATGGTGCAATGCAGACAAAAGAAGGCTAACTTCATTGCTGCGCGGGACGCGGGTAGCAAAAAAAGGTTGATCACTTGGATGAAACGCCAAATGTTCTCTTTATCTACAAACCGTTGTCATTCATGAAACGTCATAACTCATCTACAGAGAACAATTAAGATTTTATCGCCTTTAAGGCAAAAAATAATAAAACAAAATTGAGCCAATTATCGATACTCACGTTGACGAATATGATGTTCATGTAGATGGCGAACAAGAAGAACATCATGGCTGCCAGGAAACTGCTGCGGTACATCTCCATGAATTCAAACTTGTTCAGCATCATGGCGAAACACGACTCGACCGCCGAAAGGAAGTCTTTGAAGTCATCCATGTAAGCCACCAACAAAAGGTTGAACAGGAGACCGAACGACCCGATCGCGATGGTGAAGATGGCAAAGAAGCCAGTGAGATCGTTCCAGGTCTGCTTGAGAGTAGCTGACAGCATGCCAATACGCCTGTTGAAGCGCAGAAGCTTGATGAACTTGAGTGTGGCGATGAACACGATGATGCCGATGATATATCCGTAGAGATCGTCAAGCAGCTGAGCATAATTCAGTCGGACATACCCGCCTCCATTCGTGTCCTTGAAGATGGTCAAAATTTTGTCTGTTTCAATGAAGCGCATGATGTATACAATCAAGCCAGTAAAAGAAAGAAGTATGATGGCCCACTCAGCGTACGCCGAGTATTGTTTGAAATATTCTTTCCTTTTCTTGCGGATCAGACGAACCTCTCGGACGATGAAGTAAAAGATAAACAAAAAGTACAGAATTTCGCAAACAATCACGAATGCTTGTGAACCGGCCTGTTTCAAAAGTCTAATGCCGTCAAATCGCCACCAAGGATGCATCCCACCCCCAGGAGTCATCTCAACGTAGATCGTTGCGACACCGAAGAGATTTGCTTGAGCGTTGTAAACGGAAAACTCCACAAACACTGCTCTTGTAAGTGAGTCTATCCAATTTTCTCGTTCTAGCTGTGCCATTCTCTCCAGCACATCAGGTGTTCTTCCAGCGAAATGGAAAACGTAGCCTCCTCCACCATACACGTCCTGTTTGGCGACAATAGGCAGACCCTGGAGCTGGCTACCGGTCGAATAGCGGTATTCCACGCGGTTGCAATCCGCCCTGCTGCCCCGTCGCGTCCAGTTGGCACAGAAACTGCTGGTCTCTTCGCTCACAATGCTGGTGTAGCCCTGGCAGCCCCCAATCAAGCTTCGCATCCCACTGTGAATTGTGCAGGTGTCCGGGCGGGAGCGCACTTGTCGCATCGTTGCCCTGCCAACAATCCTATTCACTCGGTCGTCAAGGAAGCCTCGTAGCCCGTATGCAGGGGTTATGCCGTTATACCAAGTCTGTGCGCGCAGCTCTTGGAGTATGACATTCTGCGACCAGTACCAGAATGCACTAGTATTAGATACTCTCGAAAAGTCTAACCACCTGTGAAAGTTGGTGTAGTCTCCGATTTTGATAAAGGCATTTTCCAGGTTCTTTTGCAGGTAAAAAGAGTTGGGATCCCTGTTGTCGTAGCTGAGGACAAAAAGTATCCAAAGGAAGAATGAGTAGCTAATGATCTCTCGGACAATTACACCCATTTCAATTTCTTTCAGCCGCTGTTTGCGCATTTTTTCGAGGGTTTCTTTGTCGTAGGGACTGCTTCCACCTCCAGTGGTGCGTGTTTTTCCCGAGGCAGCCGCGAACCATTCTTCATCAGGTGCCAACTGAGGGTCCTGCTCATCCTCGTTGGCGTCGTCGGAGTCAAGGTCGACGTTCTTAAAAATGGCGGAGATGACGAGAGCTGACAAGAAGACTTTCAGTGGCTGTATCAGAAGAATTGAAGAGAAGAGGGAAATGAACAGTGATGTTACCCATTTAGTCGCCTTCTCGTTTCCAAAGGTAATACCGTACGCGTAGACAATGAAAGCGGAACCAAACAGACAAACGATGCATAAAATCCATCCGATGATCACACCCCACCATGGCAGAGTGAATCTTCGCTTTTTCACCTTTTTGTTTTTGGCTGACGTATCACCATGACTGGAGCTAGCAAGTGATCCCTTGCGACTTGAAGACTCTTCAGGTTTTTCGTCGGTATCGTTTCCACTGCGACCGCTTTTTGCACCACCTTCAGTTTTTGCTTCTGACATGGCCTTGTCTATCCTCGACATACGGAGCTTCCTCGGACGAGACTTGCGGAACAAGAAGACGATCAGCAGGGAGGGGACAAACACTATGATGTTTGACATGATACCAACTGCGATTTGCTCTGGAGACAGCGAGAGCGGGCCAAACTTGATCGAGCCGGCAGACGGCTTCGAAGGCACGCGTTCGTACCACATGGCGTTCACCATCATTGACAAGAACAGCAGGGCGAAGCAGCACGAGACTCTCTGCATCCGAGTGAAGCGCGAGCGAGGCGGTCGAAGGAACACGGAGAACCAGAGGTGTCCGTCGGACAGTGACTGCTGAGACTGGTGGGGAAACACGGTGGCGAAGTCTCGCATTTGTTCTTTGCCGGCTACCGGGATCAAACGGTCGATAAGGCCATCGTCGTACTCGACCGCAAGCCATTCGTTGCAGACAAATGTGGTCATCTCTCCTGTTTGAACATTGCGAACCAGGATATACTGCAGATACCATGAGGCGAAGCGTCCCTTGCCTGAGTTGTCGTGCCAGATGCGAAGATACTTGAGATCCCCGAGATAACAAGGCACCGACATGACAAAGGCATCTTGTCCACCTTTTCTGAAAAATCGTTGTTTTGGCTTTCCAAACGTGCGTTTTCCGCTGTCGTAATCGTCGCCGGTCAGTACAAATGATACCGTTGAATCTGTTGCTGCATCTGCCTTGTGTCCAGTGAACACCATGATTTCGTACAGGTACTTGTGCTCCACCTTGTTGTCTGGTAGAGGAAAAGCTCCGAGCTTTTCAACATCTTTCTTGTCCTGCCATCTTGCCCAAATTAGCAGCAGAAGATATAAAACGAGAAGGATTATGAGCGTCATGTAGATCGTCAGGTTGTCCGTGAAAGAAGCATTCGCAAATACGTAGGCAAAGTCAATCGTATTAAGCTGCACAAACAAGCCTGAAGCGAACGATGTCAAGTGGGAACTGTTGCATGTGATAGAGCGTAGGTCTGCCTCCGCCACTCGCAAGCCCTCACTCGACCACATCTTCAATTCTTCGTCGTAGAAAGAGCATGAAGACGTGTATGTCTGCAAGGTGTACTCACTCATGGTGAACTCAGTTCGTAGTACTTCCCTACTTTTGACGTCGCTGAGTGAATTGCCTCCGGTGCTGAGACTGGCGATCGTGGCATTGTACTTCGCACTGGATGAGTTGAACTGGCCTACGCCCACGTACACTGCACCACGGCGATCGTTGACCCAGTCTGCGGAAACAAACCATCGATATTTTGCTGTAGCATTGATGTCGTCTGGTTCAAGAGCTTCCTCGTAAGGGAACTCTGTGACCATCTTCAGTAAAGAGTGGTTGCGTAGTGTCGGCATGTGACCAAAGCTGATCATCACGAATACGTCGTTGACAGGACCATTGTATGCCGTTAGCTCTATATTGAATGCGCTATGCGGTTTCGATATATTGATGGTTGAATAGACGACAGGGTTCACCTTTCCTTTCAGAGCATCAGCAGAAATGATTTGAGTAGGTGGCGCTGGACAGTCTGTACAATTCCGATTAGTTGCGTTGTTGTACGTTTGAGAAATCCTCATCAGTATTCCGCTCGAAATATTGGCGACTGTTACTGGCTTGAGATTGCGATCGAAAACATTTAGGGCTAGCACACGTGATGTGACTGAAATGCTGCTAGCTCCAGTCGCTGTCGTTTTTGAGTTCTTGGCATTGTCTGTAGCAGACACAGCAATTGGTTTGTTATCGTTGATGGTCATGTTTGATGGCCACGCTATTGTTGCTTGGCCGACAGTTTCGTTCATTCCGCTAAGACTCTTCTTTATTGCCATTTTTGTGGCTCCTCCTTTGGGGAGAGGTACCTCGACCTCCTCATCAAGGACCATCCGCTGCATGACTGCGCCCTGAATGTTTTGAACCGCTATATCAATGCGATCATCCAAACCTGACGTCTTCCCTCTGGCAATGTCCCTTACGTTGCATTTCTGTTCTTGTTCAAGGCTAAGATTTTCCGATATGGCCTCATAGTCTTGTGCGGTGTCGATGGGCAAAAACGGTGCCTTGTCGAGGTCTGCCAGCGGAATGTCCTCGCAAGACTCACTGGTAGTGCTCACTGCCAAATGGTCTTTCGAGATCGATGCACTTGCCATTACATTCTTTAATAAGTCCAGCATTTCATCTGCAGTAGAGTAGTCAGCATCTGCGGCAGATTTGGACAGTGATTCCAGCAGGTACGTGGCCAGCTCAATCGCATTCATATCTAAGTTCAGGGAGTTTTCTGAACCGTATGACATGAGCGCATTCATCGCACTGGCTATCAATTCAATAGATTCCTTATACGTGGTTGCCATGTTGCTGATTGCCTGAAACATTCTGTCATTGTAGGCCGCCTTTTCGACGTCTGCTTGTTGAAGTTCTTCGAGCGTCATCGTGGTTCTGTCTGTCGTCTTATCCAGCGAAGCAACCGCCTGAATGATGGGAATGGCACTGCGTGAATCACCAGTGCCCGCCAAGCTCAAGAGAGCTTTGCTATCCAGGAAGGCTTGCAAAGCCTCCTCTGATGGCGCCTCTGTAGTTATTGCACAAATGTCCTTTCGAGCACTGGCGCCGTGCTGGTCTTCGGTAACGTAATGTAGCTGGTTCGTTCCAAGAAGCAGGCTAGTGTTGAGTTTTGGCGTCTTTGTGGCAGCCAGCACATGTGCCTCTCCATCGACTGTTGTGAAGAACTGAAACTTCTCAACAGGAAAACCTTCCGGGTCCAGGGGCGTCTGACACTTGATCGCAAATGTGTCGATAACTGCAAAGCTACTGCTTCCAACAGGTTCGCATGTGCATTCCTTTCCATCTACCACCGGTGGCAGGTTCACAGTCACAAAGTAAGTCACCTGGCCCGGGTCGTTGCCGACTACGCCATCTGACGCCTGCAGACCGATTTGGAACTTTGTTATTCCGGAGAAATCTGAAAACAGGGTCTTGCTGATGCGGACCTCTTCCGCGTCTGGCGTGGGAAGGTACTGCTCAGCATTCGGTACTGCCGTCACCGTGCCATCGGCACTTTCTGTGGAAAGCGACCAGGACCAGGATAGAGGCATAGGGCATTCGCCATCGGTACAACCGCCACGCAGTCCAAGATTATGTTGAGGGTTGACGGTCACACCTCCCAAGGATGGTGAGCAAAGAAGCTCATCAGCACACTGCACTTCGATCAATGGTGGATCGCCTCGGAGCATTTCTACTTGCACCTCTGCCATACTGCTTCTGACGTCCTTGCTGACGACAGCCGTGATGACGAAAGTGACCTGCTGGCGATACGGCTGCAGGATCTCAGTTTTCAAATCTAGAACTCCACCGTCAAAGTCCAACTGGCCAGGGCCCTCACCGAAGCAGCCGCCCAGATCCGGACTGGGCACTGCAGCCGCCGCCAGTCTGCCAACCAGAGACTGAGGGGGCGTTGTGGCCCCCAGTGCGCCTTCCCTTTCCTCACCTGTTCTCCGACAGTACCATTTGAAGGTGAAATCCTTTGATAGCACATCATCTGGGTCAACCGAGTACATAAGTGCGTCGAGAACAATTGTTTGGCTCCACCCGCGCACTATTTTAGACACCGCACCTTTGATTATACCAGCGTAAAGCGGAGTGCGCTCGACTTTTAGATATGCCTTGGACTGGGTCTGGAATATATCGCCGTCTGTGAGACCCTCGTCTTGCATTGTCATCGTGTACTGAAGCAAATACAGACCAGGCTTCAAGAAATTCCTCGGTATGACCAAGTCAGCTTTGTCCCAGTGCGGAAGCTGGTGCATAATGTGTGCAGATTCTGATTCTTCTGTTTTGATGTGTATAACTTCCCAACGCTTCTTAGTCGTCATAGAGGCATCACAATTCAACACTGCCTTTGCCTCGATCACTATTTCTTGCGACTTGAGATAAGTAGGTGGATCTTCCCGCTCCTCTGATGCTCCCACGATGGAAACGGTTGGATTGGAACAAGCAACATCGGAAACGCTCACTAAGAGCTCATAGGTCTCATCGTCTTTTGGATTGAACACATTAATTGTCACGTTGTAAATACCTTTGTTCCAGTAGAGAAATTCAAGTGGCATCGGATTCCTCAGAGCTGTGGGCATGTTTACCGCTGATGGATATTTTTCAGCGCACATGATCTCGTCTCCAAATGTTGCCAGTGGAGAATTGTCGCCAAAATGAATCGCAAGACACATTTGCATTGTACTTGCCGATGTCCAGCTTGCCGTGAAATTCTTTAGCTTGAAGTTGTCTTCTGACTGTTGTTCAGACATTGCGATTTTCAGTGCGCTGATCTCGGTAATTGGGTCCTGAATAATCACTCTGACTGTGACAGGATCTGTCGTTTCGTAAGTATTCTCGCCGACAAATGACAGAGGGATTTCTTGGTTAGTGTTGATGTGATAGACGAATTGCTCGGCGGTGGGGTTGTCCTTGTCTTTGAAGGTGTATGAGGCCATCTCTATATGGCCACCGTCGGAGTCGTTGAACAGCGTTACTTTTGTCATGGTTCCCTGCAGAAGGTTGAAACCAAATGTGAGGTTGCGGTCATTCCGGTACTGGTTCTCATCCACGCCCATGCCCGTCAGTAGTTCTTCGGCACGTCTGTCGTCCAGGTTCTGTAGAATCAAACCCTCGAGGCCAATGATTTTGTTCTCTATCACGACTTCAATAGTATCAACCTGCTCACTGATTTTGTTTCTCATGGTGATTTGGACCGAATACACGCCTCTACTGTCGAAGCCATGGTTAACCGGTGCCACGAAGAACCCGTTGACGGCTGCTGAAGTCGGAGTGTTGTCCGCCAGACTGAAACACAAAAGTTATGTGTTAGCTATCATGCATTATAAATGCATTAGTGACTTAGAATGATTCATTATTTCCGAAATAAGAAGCACGCGCTGCCCCCCACATGGTCGCACTATTTCTTATGAATTGGCAGCCTACGACTACGAAAGCGAACCCAGTCAAGTAAAGTGACCTGTCAAGTAATGCCTATCACGTTACATACCTTCCAAAAGTGGCGTTTGACATATGTATGCTTCTGTAAAATAACGATATTTTACAGAATTAATTATGTAAGGCCCACGTTCATGCATCACCATCACAGAATGATTTAACAAAAATAACTTAAATAAATCGATGCTATTAAACGAACGCTTAAAAGCCCCAACTGATATGGAAATAATTATCAGCAGCTTGCGTGGGAAGTGGAAACCAAAGCAGCTATGTTTGTTCGTTGGATTTTAGGCCTTGGACCAAACTGGACAAAGCCTGAACTAACTACTTCTCTACTAAACGTTGGGCTGAACAGTCGATCAACATTGACTGTCCTAGAACGCAGCTCGCCTCGACAACTCACTTGATGGAAGCGTCAGAGAGCTGAAGACCGGTTATCGGGAACCCGTCTCCGAAGTCTATGTCCATGTGGGCGTCCGTGGGCAGCTGGGCGGTGCTGGGCAGGCGCATTTCAAGCACCACAGCGGCCGGTATCTTGGTGCCCGTGACGACGGCCAGGAACTGGCTGTCGGCTCCCAGCTGCGGCAACCACTCGGCCACCACCGGGTGCTGCACGATCACCGTCAGGTCGCTGTGCGCCGGCTGCAGCGGCACGCTGTGGAGGTTCGTCCCGGTCACTTTCAGTGTGAATGTCCCCGACGTGGCGAATTGCACCGTGTGCGTGAACACGTCCGCCGTGGTGACCGACTGCTGAATGCTCTCCTGGAAGTTCGCCACCCCGGACGCCGTGTCAAAGGTGTAGTTGAGCTGGACCGGCGCGCCCTGCGAGATGGTGACACTGAAGGTGACATCCACGTTGGACTGGATGACGAAGGCGCCGCTGAAGTTGGCGCCCGGTGCCGGGCTGGCTTCTGGCGTCACTGAGGCACTGTTCTGCTCTACCTGAACGGTGATGGTGCCGACGGGGATCTGGCAGGCGGTGGTGTTGGTCAGAGTCGTGGTGCTGCCGTCGGTGACGGTCAGAGTGATGTCGCTCATCGCTGCGCAGGTGTGCCCGATGCCCATTGGTGTCTGAGGGATGCCCACCAGCTCGACCATGTACCGTTTGTCGGTGGACGTTGCGCCGAGGTCTCCGGTACCGGCTGACGTCGCCATCCAGGACACGGAGCCAGTTGAGCAGGTCACCTGAAAACCACACCCTTTGCAGTCAGACAGAAAGACCACACTCATACATTTCATGCATGGAATGGACTATTTTAATGGCAGCTACACATGAACTGCACACATAGTGCATTGTTGCATGCATTGTAAGTTAAGTTCCAATTAATTTTCGACCAGACCAGCTAATCAATAATCATGTTTATTTTTAGTAAGCACGTTGGTGGTATTCAGTAAAATACCTAGCGGTTTTAATCGGTTTTATCTTTTAAAAGTCACCTTAGCAAACCAGCCAGGCTCTGCCCAGGTGCCCGCCGAGGACAGGTCGAGCTTTCCATAGGCATCAGCGGCGGTTGTGAACGTAGTCGGTGCCACTGACGAGGCGACCAGGCTCGGAGCTGCACGTGCAGCACACGTGCCGTCCGACATGGAACACTGCAAAGAATAACTCACACACGTTAGTCAGTTCAGTTGTATTGAAATTCAAGGACTCTTGCACTGGAAATTTGTCAACCTTTTTATGACTTTTGTAATACGCGTAATGTTAACAAAACGCTATGCCCCTAAACTTAAAATCTGGCCCTTTTTGTACTATTTCCCCTCAAAAGGCGCAAGTACAACGAGAACGCATATAGTGGCAAGGCATATCCGCTTAAATACAATGGAAGGCTACAGAATAATAATATAAATATAACTGGACACAATGCATCAAGTTTGTGAGTGATGAATAAACAAGCGTTCTACTTGCCATCATTGCACTGAGTGGCTGGGAAATTAAAACATAAATACCTAAACAAGCGTTCCTTGACGTCTTATGATGATGCTATAAGCGCCAGGCGATTAAGTTTTCTAGCCCGCGCCCTGCTGGGGGGGGGTGTTTGAACACCCCCCCTTGTGGTTTTTCGCGAATATCTCAAAAACGGCGGCGCGGAGCGCCGCCGTTTTTGGTACACCTTATCATACATCAATTCTACACAAGTTGTGAAAATTTCAAACCAAGGTCATTCAAGGTCAGGTCACCAGGTCACTTGAAGTGACCTCACCTCATAAAAAGTTTCAATGTCTGTCAAAGCTACACCGAGTGACCGATCGCTTTGAAACTTTCAGCGATTGCTAAGAGCAATAGCATGTACAAAATGTATATCTCAGAATTTTGATATCGATGACCTAAGGTCAGGTCAATTTTGCGACCTCCCCATTATAAGTCAATGGGAGAAAATTGAAATGCGCCTCTTTTTGACGAAGGACATTATAAACACTCCCAAACACTGAATTACAAGTGGTTTAGACACACTGAACATGAAAATGGTGTCCGTGACCCCTGTTTATGCCCTGAGGTCAACTTAGGTCACGAATGGTATCTAACAGTTTTTCGCAAATAACTTTTGATAGAGGCATGCTAGAGCGATGAAAACGCCTTAGATGTGTTCAGCTCGACGATACGGATCGACTGATATGCAACATGACCCTTTCCGGTCAGGTCATGACCTTGACCTGAGGTCAAATTTTCAAGTTGACCTTTCAAGGTCAAGTTATAGTTCATTCGACGCGTCTTGACGAGAGGAACACGATGCCGGTAAAAGTAAGCTCGTACAAGGCTTGGGTCAAAAGATATTGCAGAAAAACTGTTTCCGAAAAAATCGGCTATTTTTGCAGTTTTTGCCCCCTGCAGGCAAAACCGTTGACATTAGGTCAAATCTGAGGGAATTACTCAGAAAGGGCGTTAATAGGGCTATCGAATGCGCTTTTCCGCGGCGCTGTAGCTCTATTGGTTCCCGAGTTATGCGTTGGCTTCTTGGAAATTTTCGACATTCGACCTGGAAATCGGCGATATTTTGCCTTCAATGACCTCTGGTGACCTGACCTTTGACCTGACCAAAAAATTGACCGAAGTGATTTCTTCATTATTTTTGACGCTCTTTCGAACGCCGCCTTCGGCGTATCGCTACGTGGCCCAGGAGCCGAGTTAGAAGGGGGGGTGTTTGAACACCCCCCCCCCCCCCAGCAGGGCGTGGAAATCCAGGACCCCCAGCCGGGCGCGGGCTAGCACATGATGACAAATAGATATGTCACCTTGTAATTTGTCATAAGTTGCATGTGCCTACTGCCTAGCAGAAATGAAGCTCTAATGCAACATACAAATTGTTTGCACGAATGTAGGTTAGTTTCATGCCAGGTAGCCAGCCTTTGACTAAGACTTGAGAAACTTCTATTTCATTCAACAAAGCAATCCATTAGATTAAAAACTACTATAAAGCTACAACGCGCTTGAATAGATATGTAGAAATGGCTAGCTATTACCGATGTTAGTTGTCGGACTTTCGTCCCCGTCTTGAGGTGAGATGAAGACGGGGACGAAAGTCCGACAACTAACATCAGTGATAATAACACTTCGTCTCAAGCATTCCAAAGAATTATGGCTAGCTATTATTCCTTAGCATAGGACGGTTTAGGAATTTTTCCGTTTATCAACGGAATAGTCACTGACCTGACCGGAGAGTGGGCAGAAGGTCGGCTCACTGGCGTCGCACGAGTAGTTACTGGTTCCCGTCACCAGCGGACAAAATGGTGAACAAAAGCCCGAGCTGGGACAGAACACGTGGCTGGCGTCGCTGCACGAGCCCTCCATCAGCTGAAAGCAACAGCATATCAGGGTCAGTCAGTGCGGGGCTCCCTTATGTTATTTTACTTTGTCTGTCTGTGAAATAAATTAGGTCGCTGCCGGAAAAGCATTTTAATCATGAATGACCAGTTTACAGTGCCTGCTACCTACTTACGTAAAATTTTGCATTACTAGGCACTCCTCGCTCATTGGTGACGGCCTAGGTAAATGCATTCTTAGAAAATATAAAGAGGTTAAATTATTCCGAAAGCATCTTAATCACGCGTTTTACCATTGGCCAATACTTTTCGTTTCTCACCGTGAGCTGACAGTCGCCTGTTCCAGCTCCGTGCCAGTGCAGGGCCATCAGCTGCGTCCGCTGGGAGAACGGCCATCGCAGGGTGAACTCCAGCTCCCCGCCCGAGGTCTGGACGGGGCTCTGAGCCCTGCCCCTCGGCGGCGGGTGGCCCACACTCAGCCATGGCGCCTCCGGTGGCGACACCGTCATGGCGATGCTGTCATCGCTGAATGTGGCCGTCAGCTGGAGGCCGGAGCCGCCGACGGTCGCCGAGCAGAAGTAGGGCTGGTTGGGCTCCACCAGCGGCGGACAGTTGAGTTCCAGCAGCAGCGGCGCGCTCTCCACCACCACCTGGGAGCTGTTGCCGGCCCACGGACTGGACACGGAGATTGTGAACGTGCCGGGGCTCACGTAGTCCAGGGAGGCCGAGAAGTCCGTGCCGCGGACGGCATTTGCCGTACCAGCTGCGGACGGGATGGTGTTTTTCAGATTGCGTGCATGAATAGTTATTGATTACGTCAGACCATGTTTCAAACTTGAAACTGATATCAAACATACGATTGCGATGATTAACCCACGCCCCGCTGGGGGAGCAGAGTCTGCCCCCTCCCGTTTTTCGCCAATAACTTCTAAACGCGTTACGACAGCGACGTCAAACTTTCAGTACCTTCTCATATAATAATTTAACACGTTTCCTGAAAATGTGAGAAAAATCCGTCGGAAAATTGTTGAGAAAATGACGTTTAAGTGACATCATATCACGCCATTGTTGCCTCAAAAACGGCAAAACTTCAAACGCCGCTAACGTCTTCATTTTTAAAGGAATCAAGACGTAACAAATAGCTATACGTGATTCTACTTTGTCTATCAAATGGCTATCTCGGTTTTTTGAAAATTTTGATTTTGGCCCATTTTTTACTGGCTTTTTGGGAAAATAATTATAAAATCCAGAATTTTGAGTGTACCGAAAAACCGGGACACATGTCAGAGAAGTGGTCTATGTGAACCTACATAACAATTTTTAGAAGAATCAGTTCAAAAATGTGGGAGTTATTCAAAATTGTATGACGTCACGAACTCACGACACATTTTTTGAAAAAAAAAAGATTTTTTGGACGTTCTAGACCTCGTACAGACACCAAAATAGCACCATTCGATTCGCCGTAAAAAACTGCACCAGTTGGACACCTTTTTTGGTCTTAACAACCAACTTCAAAATTTTACCTCTCTTGGCCTGACTTTGACCTGACCTCGACCTGAAATTCATCCGGATGTGGTCCATATCACTTATTGAATGTGCCTATTGAATTCTATGAATAAAATTACCCATAAAACATGCATCGCACGTGCCATTTTCTATATTTCGTTTTTGGTGACCTGACCTGACCTTGACCTTGACCTTAACCTTGACCTTGCATGATATTGTATGCAACGAATATTGTCTTGGTAGCCTAATAACACGTTTTGGGCAACCAGTCTCAGTCCATTCTTCGGCAACTACGGTGCAAGGCCGATACTGTAGAAACTTGCATTTTGTACCCTTGACCTGACCTTGACCTGACCTCTGACCTACTTAAGCAAAGAAAATCGGCTCTTAAGATCCGCCTTGTTGAGAGCTTTCGATTGCTGTTTTCCCCGTCTTTCTACGACCATCGGTTCGGAAGTTAGATAGGGGGGGGGGGGCAGAATCTGCCCCCCCCCCCAGCAGGGCGCGTATGGCTGAATGAATCAGTGAATAGCCCAGCGGCACGCGGGTTAAGGCAGATCAATGTTTGCGAGCGAAAATGATTAGCACAGAGCAAAATAAAAATTAGTAGTAATCCCAGATTATCTAAGGACAAAATTAATGGTGTTTGCAAACGGCAGTAAATAACGTGTCACGCTTATAGCATCACGTGACTTATGCTTTGATTATGGTTTCCAACGACAGTCGCCATAACAGACCCCAAAGCCGGAAAAATAATAATAAAGAGCCAATAAGAAGCCCACAAAAAAAGAGGAAAAACACGAAAAATGAAATAAAAATAAGACAAGAAAACAAGAAAATCCCCACAAACGAACAACCAAACTTCCTAAGCAACGAAAACAACTCGGAGAACCAGCTTGGCCGAAATTGCCGAAAGGCGGCAGGCGATGCACTATGTAAGTACAGTCCACAGCAGAAGTAATGAGCGGTTTCAGTCATGGGTATGTTCTGCTTCTAAAGCTTAGGAACGATTAGCCAGACTACAATGAAACTTGTATCGTCACCCTTGCAGCTGCAACTTTAGCCATTGACATCTTCTTTTCGATCACTCCGCATTAAAGTGACCATCCCACCTTAACATTAGTTTTGAGTTGAGATAGCCAAATTGGTGGCCATGGCCTGAAAATACCGGTTTGGGCACTCAACATCGGGCACTTACTTTCAAATAAAATCGCTAGGAACAGCGGAGATCCCAAAAAGTAAACAAAAGTTAAAGTCTAATATCTTGAAAACCGGTGAATATTTTTTCGATGAAATTTGGTAGATATTCGTTTTCGCTCTTTCTGAACCGAGGGACATCACTTTCATGCCAATTCATTAACTTTTTTGAAGGTGGGAGGGTCCCTTTAAACAATCACCAGTCAAAGCCAACCGTTGAGATGGGTAAAGCCCTACATTACTTTAGCGGTGGGCTGTACAATGGGCTGAGCAGCACTCACCAAGCAGGAACGGTGGCGATCCGTCGCCGGGGTTAACGACAAAGTCGACCACCTCGGCGGGCGTGGTGCCGGCGGCGGTGACCGCCGTGCCGCCCGCCGTGACCGGTGAGGTCACCGGGGTCAGCTCGACCGGGCCGGACCGGAGCGGGGCGGCCTCGCCCGTCACCAGGCCGTCGGGACCGCCGCACTCCGCGCCGTCCTCCGTGCAGGTGGTGGGACACGAGGTCGCCGTGGTGAGCCCCGTGAGCTGGGTTCCGGTGCCGCACAGGCAGGCCATGCCGTCCTCCACCGCCGCCTCGCCGTTGCCAGTGTCCGAGCAGATCGTCTTACAGCGCTGTGGAAAAGTCAGATCGTCTTACAGGTCTGCGTAAAGTTCAGATCGTCTTACAGGTCTGTGGAAGTGCTAGATCGTCTTACAGGTCTGCGGAAATGTCAGATCGTCTCACCGGTCTGCGTTAAGTTCAAATCGTCTTACTGGTCTGTGAAAGTGTCAGATCATTTAAAGGTCTGTGGAAAAGTCAGATCATCTTCCAGAGCTTTGGAAGTGTAAGATCGCCTTACAGTTAGTAAGAGAATCAGATCTTACATGTCTGCGGAAAAGTTAGCTCGTCTTAGAGGTATGTGGAAGTGTTAGATTGCTTACAGGTTTATGGAAGTGTTAGATCATCTTACAGGTCTGCGGAAACGTCAGATCGTCTTACAAGTATGTTGAAGTGCTAGATCGTCTTACAGGTCTGTGGAAGTGCTAGATTGTCTTACATACAGGTCTGTGAAAAAGTCAGATCGTTTTACAGGTCTGTGAAAAGGTCAGATCATCTAAGAGGCCCGTGGAAAAGTCAGATAGTCTTACAGGTCTGGTGAAAAAGTCAGATCGTTTTACAGGTCTCTGGAAGTGCTAGATCGTCTTACAGGTGGTCTGTGGAAGCGTTAGGTCATCTTACAGTTATGCTGGAGAGTCAGATCGCTTTACATGTGTTTTGCTAGATTGTCTCACATATCCAAATGGAAGCGTTAGATTGTTTGTGAGGCTTGTGAGTGGGTACAATTCTTTTACATATAGCTGTGAGGAATTTCGATCTTATCCTTATCCCCGTCTTATTGAGACGGGGATAGACATATATACCTAGATAATTACTGTGACCCAGATTCTTGGACCCAGTAGCAACATAAAAATGTGAATGCCTTTGGCAATGGTTCGTGACCTTTTGAAGCGTCTGGCAGAATTGGCAGCGCTGTTTCATGGACTCGGAGATCGAGTTAGGTAAGACTCTGGCGCAGCAAAGGAGCAAAACGGTAAAAGTGACCTCCATTGTCCAAATGCATCCTTCCTACAAAATCAATCCTCCTCCTCCTTATGTAACCCTCTTCAGTGTCGATATCGCCTTAACAAGTATGTTACGGCTTGGAGCTAATGCATTAAATGAATTATTCGCCGAAAAAGTCGGGCCTTGGCATGCCATAATGACCGTGAATGGCACATAACGGGGTCCCTACCGCACTGTGGCGCTTCAGCCACATTGGGGTGGCCATCAGACCTGCTATTTCTGCATTAGCATCGGTTGGATTCATTGGCTTTGCGTCACAAGAAGACAACGAAAGCGTGGCCTGAACTGTTTACTGCGGGCGCGGGGCAACGGCTGCACACTGATTGCGTCCGCGGTCGGCCTGTGTCTATGGAGCTCTGTGACGGTGTACTGCCGTCGCCTGGACACGGGGGCCATCGGTACCGATGGATGGTTTCAGCAGGGCGTGTCCGTATCGACGGCCGGCGCGTAACACCGAGCCCGCCGTGATCGGCACCAACACCGCCAAGGCAAGGAATCAAACATGTTTTCCAGTCGCGCTTGGTTCATCCTTCTTAGTTCTACATATACAGCTTACCTCTTTTGCAGTTATAAACCCAATTTGGTTTTTCTCTGCATGACAAATCATTATGTGATTTCGCACTGCAATGGTTTAGTAGTTTCGCTCTCGTCTTATCCATTCTTTCCTGCTCACCTCCCGAGGAACATCGATAAATGAAACACATAACGGCATAACATCTACAATCTACATTGAATTCGAACAGACCCATCTAAGTCCCCCGAGTGTGACTTTACCCTCGCATGTGTGCGGCGTTTTCCAGCGTTTAATGTGTAGGAAGGGGTCGGTTGGACCCCCCACCCCTACCCTGCTGTTTGGCCACTGCACTGATTGAGCTAGAGCTTCGCGGAAAAAAACGAGCGTGCTTCCCGTGACGAGAAGAAGCCGATGATGTTCAATTTTGATGTCCTAGGTCATTGGTTGACCTTCCAGGTCAGGTCATTGGCCCTTAACCCTCGCCCATGTAGGGGGGGTTGGTGCAACCCCCCCCCCCTGAGGTTTTTCGAAAATAGTGCAAAAACGGCGGCGCGCAGCGCCGCCAAATTTTGGGTACCTTATGGGGCAAACCTTGCGCATCTTTTGATAAAAAAAATTGACCGGGTCATGTCAGGTCACGGAGTTATGACGTCACAAAGGGAACAGCCTCCGGCCGGATTTTCACAAACTGAGTGCCAACGCCCGAGGTTTCCTGCCGGTGGTACGGAGATCGGTTGATGGATCGTGATGAAACTTCCCATGCATGTTGGGGCAAGTATTGGCTATCATATGGTATAAGAAACTTGACCGGGTCAGGTCAGGTCACGGAGCTATGACGTCACAAGAGGAACAGCGTCCGGTACTATTTTTGGAAAGCGCCCGAACCACTATTTTGCTAATTCTTGTCACCTCAATGGGAATATGCAGCAATATTAGCTTCTATAGGGAGCACATGGACCTCCTAAATCCAAAAATACAATCAGATTTCAAAAATTTAAATTTGGATTTTTCGAATTTCTGCCGCCGACTGTGACCTTGCCGACTTCCGGCGCTCCCAACGCGCCATTTTTAGAGCTAGGGAAACGAAATACATACCAAACGATAGAGAATTGATCAAGGAACACGATAGTGAAGGTTTCAAGTCGACATCTCCCACCGTGTTGCCGCAATCGCCGCCGAAAGTTGAAAAAAAGTCTATTTTTCCGAAAATTTGACCTTTGACCGGTCAAAAGTAGGTCAAATGTTGACCTAGGAACAAAAAATATACCACCACAGTGTATATAAATACAGTGGCGGCAAATGCGCTTGGTCACGTGACCAAATCTGCACGTGCGGTTGTGGCGAGGGCACTTCCCGAAACTCTGGTGCCAACGGCCTCGCGGCGCCCATAGAGAATACATGGGACCTTTTCTTTTCAGACCTATCGTGTCTAAACCAAGCCATTTAGTGCAAGGATACGACTGGTTTGAGATTCAGTAGTCTTTTGGCTATAAGTCGGCATAAGAAACATATTTTTATCGGCAAAATTCGCAAAGTACCAGGTGGTTTTCCGATACCCTGCACGCCTCCGAACCCCCGGCGGCCGACCGGAGAGTCAGTAGCGCTCCACTCACGACTTTTGGCGATAGCTCAAAACACCTTACAGCTAGAGGGCTGCTATTTGGCACCCCTTATCTTTGCTTCCATACGCATCTTTGGAAACCAATTGCATTTCCGTCTCAGGTCAGATCACTGACTTATGACGTCACACGTGAACCTCTGCAATAGTTCCAAAATACCGAAACTTCGCAATGCCCTCGGTGCCAGAGGAGCTGTCACAGCGAGATGATACTTACAGGACCTAGTATCCTCTAGGAGTCTCAAAACTTGTATATCTCGCCTCGGATTTCTCCTAGAGGTCATATGAGGTCAGGCCGATCGCGTGACGTCACCATTACAAGTCAATGGGGAAAATATGGAAACTGTAATTTTGACGCCGAGAATGATCTAAACCTAGCTCAAGCACATGGAATCGCAATTTCATGCAATTCTTGCAATGTCCAATGCTTCACTTTTGCATCTTTAACGTAGCGTGACGTCATTCATGACGTCACAAAGGTCACAAGTTTTTTCGTCAATAACTCCTGACAAAATTGAACTGGCAAGTCGGAAAAGTCGCCAATAGACTCGGGAAGACCTACCGAATCGAATGATATACGATATGACCTCCTCCGACCAAGTTCGTGACCTGAGTGCCTCTGACCTGGCTTTGACCCGATATGAGCACCTTATGTTGACCCCACCCAAACAAAAGTGTACCATTTTGACGCACCGGAGCATGACAAACATGATGGTACTAACATCGCGACTCTGCGCCGTTTTTTTCGGCAAAGTTATTTTTCAAAACCCAAAATCGTATTTTGGCCCTCGGGGCACTTGACCTGACCCTCAGAGGCCACCAGTTGACCTGAGACTTTTTAACCGTGCATCAATCGCTGCGCCCCCGGTCCCGTAACGGCACACATGCTTGTTTTTCCCGCGAGGCTAGCTCAATTAGGGCGAGGGAGTCGTACCTGCCCACTCTCGCGGCGGGGGCGTAGGTATGTGGTATGTAAAAAAAAAACTAAGAAGTCTGGTGATGATTGATGCAAGATTCTTACAGATAATGGTAGATGAAGGAAGGGCATCAGTTATTAAAGATAAGTGAAACAAATTTGCAGCCCTCAGTAGCATTGATTTATGCATTAAGAGTTATAAAACCATAGGCGGCGGAACGGGGAGGGCACCGGGGCACCGTGCCCCCTATAATTTTGGCATTTAAACATTAGCCCTATGGGCGTTGCATGGAAAGAATCGGACCGAAAGTCGGCAGTGCCCCCCCCCCCCTATTGAAGGTGTTCCGCCGCTACTGTATAGAACAACTGTAAGCTGCAGGCTCAGCTCTTCAGTTTCTACCTATGCCTGCAAACACAATAAAATCAATGGAAGAGTAATAATAGATTAATTGCATTTTATTGATGCTATTCAAGTATCAATGGTAACTATGTCACCGATGATTCAATATTATTTGCACGGTATCATTTACCACCATGCGTCTAAATATTTAGTTTCTAAAATAATGCAGTAAAATAAGCTGCGCCACGTCTGTCGATAAAATCTGGTGCCAACTCAAGGTCACACGGAAAATGTGGTCACGTGACCAATGTCCGGCAGCTGTATACCACCAATCGCGAGATCGCGGCGAGAGCAATCCGTTGGTCTTTTCCGCTAAGCTCTACGACGCTCCGTTTTCAAACGCCAAGGGGGGGTCGCACCAACCCCCCCCCCCCTGCATGGGCGAAGGTGGCAGATCGCCGTTTACGGGCGAGGGTTAAGTCGGGAAAATCGGGACGTGTCAGAACTTCGCAAAGTGAAGCTGTACTGGGTTTTTCGGGTTGCTGATCACGTATTTCATGTTAGCTTTGATCACAGATGATGTCTTCATGCATTTAGGTCAGGTCGGGTCAGGTCAGGTCAGGTCAACCAGTAGGCATCCTGTCGGCTATCCACAGTAGGTGTCAACTACCGCTGACGGCGTCTTAACATGTTACGAAGGCACTAAAACTACTTCATAAATGTTCAACTGGATGCTACATTCGAAATCAGTCCAGAAAACTACCCTAGAAGCATGTAAAACTCGAAGAAGTGAACCGAAGTCGTCAAAGATCAATGACCTGACCTGACCTGACCTTCAGGTAGCCTTGATACCCACCGCAATACATGGGACGAACATCATTTCACATGTTTGGATGTCTACAATCACAAAAAGACTGGAAATGCGCGGATACTGTGAGCTGACATACCGCTGAATTGCGATTCAGGGCAAACATTGTCTCGAGAAATAGATCACAGGTCAAAGGTTATTTAGGTCAGTGTCATGAAATTTTTAGATTATGTGTACAGTTGATCAACTCGAGGGCACTTAAAGTTTCCTCGCGATCGTCGGCTTTTTGCGCGGGTTATTTGCGAAAAACTGAGGGAGGTCCATGGGGGCCCCTTCCCCTACACATGCGAGGGTTAATGGAATTCATCAATGCCTAATTCAAACCCATTATGGCATAGTATTTACGATTCTACATCGCAGTAACAGACTCCTTTGAGTCCCCGGGCTGTCGTACTGCGACAGATGCGTGCGTTCCAACACTCACCGTCAGTGTGATTTTGATTGGGTCATAGTTGCCTCCGGAGGCGAGCAGGCCTCTGAAGCCGTCAGCTGTGATGTCGTCCTGCAGACAGGCGCCCTCAGCCTCTGTCCAGAAGAGCGCCACGAGCAGCAGCAGAGCCACTGGGCCGGTGCCGCCGGGCTGCCACCGCCTCGTCATGGCGGCTGACTGAACGGCACAGACAGTCAACGGTCATGGGGGCTGTCAACGAAAGAAACAGCTGGGCATAGTGCAATAAAAGTGAAGGGATTTAGTTGAGCCACGGCATCATTTTTTTCGGTTTGAGGCTTTTTAGTGAGTAAGCATTGTTTTGCTTATACAAATTACAAACATCAGTTTAGAACAAACCGGTACCCGACTTAACGGGAACTTATCAGGCTCCTCTAGCTTTTTATTTTCTGCACTACTAGCTGGAGGAATCGTTTTATCAATCATCGTAATCTACCGTCATAAAACTTTCCTCCCTTTTCAATTTGTACCTAAATTTGGCGTCTGTGACTTATCTTAAAGTGGATACCCCACCTTAGCATTAGTTTTGAGTTGAGATAGCCAAATTTGGGCCCCTGGCTTGTAATTACCGGTTTGGGCATTCACAACGAGCAATGCCTTGAATTGGAGGTATTTAGCTTCGAAGTCTGCAGATTTTGGATTATGATAGGCTAATACATTTGAATGCCTCCTCAGACTTTGTGACGTCAGTGCAGGTCTAGCGATTTTTAAATATAACACTAAAACCTTGATGGAGGATAATTGTTGCTGTGGAGGTATATACCAGCTTGCACGCAACATCTGTCGCACTTTAAAGACACAAAATCATTGCTTCCAAATGACGTCATTGGAACAGCAGAGGCCCCCAAAATGTACAAAAATGAAATTCAAATATCTCATAAACCGGCGAATATTTTCGGTGAAATTTGGTAGGCATTCATCTTTGCTCTTTCTGAACCACGGTACATCACTGTTATGCGAGTTTTAACTTTTTTGAAGGTGAGAGGTTCCCTTTAACTCTCGCACTTATGGGCGGAAAGGGGCGGATGGAACCCTCGGTTGTTCGCAAATAACTCGCAAAAGTGGCCAGTTGCAACAAAACTTTCATCACCCTCGTATTTCAGTTAACACATGTGTTAACTGAAATTCAGGGCATGCATGCCCTGAAAATTTAATGAACCTGACCTACATGGCATTTGACCTGTGACATGTTTCTCGTGATTAAAAACGTGCCAACATGTGAAATAATGTTTACCTCATGCATTATGGTGAGTGTTAGGATACCTTGAAATTCGGGTAAAAGTCATGAGTTCTGATGACATCGGGTGATTTTTTTCGAGTTTTATTGCTTTGCTATATAGTTTTTGGAGCTATTTTCGAAAGCACTTATTTAAACATCTGAGAAGTATGTAGGCATGGTGCCTATGCAGCATATTACGAAGCTGTCAGTGGTTGCTCAGAGTTACTATTGCACGCCTAATGGTTGACTTGACATGACCTGTCCTGGCCTATTCAAAATGCATTAAAACACCATTGTTAATCAAAACTAGTATGAAATTTAAAATGAGTAACCCAAAACCACATCACGACCTCACTTTGACAAGCTTTAGCAGGTCCCTGTTTTCCCGTCTTTTGAGTCATTGACATGAGGTGGAAGGTCAACCAGTGACCTGGGGCCTTAACCCTCGCCGGCACAAGTTGATGCTCCAAAAAAACTGTTTCGCAAATAACTCGCGTAAAAAGCGAAGCGGGCGATCGCGACGAAACTTTCAGTACCCTCGCGTTGATCAATTTTACACTTACCCTGAAAATTTCATAACCTTGACCCAAATGACCTTTGACCTGTGACCTATTTAACTTTCCGAGACTATGTTTGGCCGGAATCGCGGTTCGGCGTAGGTATGTCGGCTCGCATTAACCGCGCGTTTGCAATCTTCTCGTGGTTTCAAGCGTTCAAACATGTGATTTGATGCTGCTCCCATGTATTAGGATGTATGTCAAGGTCACTTGAAGTTCAGCTCAGGTCATTGACCTTTGATGAGCTCGGCTCACTTTTTTGAGTTTTACATGTTTCTAAGCTAGTGTCTGGAGCTGAATTCCAATTTAGCAACCATTTGAACATTTACCAAGTAGTTTTGGTTCCTTCGTAACATGTTAAGCATGGCTGTCAGAGGTGGTTGACACGTACCACGAATACCCAGCAGGACCCCTACTGGTTGACCTGACCTGACCGACCCGATCTGGCCTAAATGTATAAAGACATCATCTGTGATCAAAATTCAAAACTAACATGCTATTCGTGATCAGCACCCCCGAAAAAACCATCGCAGCCACACCATAGCAGCCCCCCCCCCCCCCCCCCCAGCGGGTCGCGGGTTAACGACGTTCTAATAGGTCCCGATGTTCCCGACTTTGGGTCATTGACCTGACCTGGAAGGTCAACCGATGACCTAGGACGTTAAAATTGGGTATCATCAGCTTCCTCTTGTCACGGGCAACACACTTGTTTTTTTTCCGCGAAGCTAGCTAGCTTGATCAGGAACCAAACGCAAGGGGGGTCGTAACAACGCCTCCCCCCCCCCCTCCCTGTGCCGTCGAAGGACGTAAAATGGCCTGTGCCGGCGAGGGAATTTGGTATTTTTTTTTAATGCTAGCAACTTTATTTCGCTCATAAGTGGTTAACAAGACGCAGAACACAGTCACTTTGCCCCAGTGCTGCGCGCACGAGTCTGTCGCGCGCCCGCGCCCCAGCCGGTTAATCCAACAGTGGCAATCGCGACGGAACGACACAATTCACAGCGGTGTGTGGCGGCAGCCCGCGCCCCTCGACGGCCTAGGGGTGGGGGCCGTCCGGCGGCCGTGCGGGCCATCAGCTGCCGCCGGCCGCGGCCGAAACACGAAAAAAAACGGTAAAAAGAACATTGCGCGATACAGCTCAAACCAGCACGGGCGGCGGCGGTGGCAGACGCGCCAGCGGGCGCCCCGCGAAGGGCGGCCAGGGCACACGGACCACCAGGTAGCGGCTGCCACCCAGCGCCAACCACTGCACCGGTCCCCCGCCGACGACCCGCAGCGACCGAGACGTCCCGCGAGCGCAGGCCGACCAGACAGAGGGAATTTGGTATTTTCGGAAAGCTGTTTCGATTACAGCAGCTGTGACGTCAGTTATGTCACGTCTGATCAATTTTGAAGCAAAATAATTATCTTCTTAAATACTACTGTCTGGGGGACATTTTTTAGTTAAAAATTATTCTTGCATGAGTTGACGCAGAAGAACTCAGGCCACTTAGGCTCTGGTTTTCACATTATTGAGCATGAAAACAGATCTTGTAGTTTTAAGTATTTCAACATTTATGCTAGGCTGCTTTGGAGACATAAGATCACTTCAAATTACGTTTAGGTAACATGGAAAATAAACTATCATAATTGGACAACAATAGGATAATGACACCCTAATCGTAGGAAAAAATGCCATAATAACAAAAAGATATGGGTCTTGATGACAAAGACCACTTTAAGAAGGGAAGTCGATTTATTCGCATTATGCATTTTAGTTTTGACTCAAATACTTATTCCGAATAGGAAAACCAATTAAATTATCGTTTTATTTCATAAAACATTGGTGTTCTCAAACTAAAACATCTTTCCATTGTTCGGTCGGCCTCTTTCGGTTTACTGAGGACATTTCCGGGCGAGAAAATAAGAAAATGGGGTAAAATATCGGGCTGGGATGAGCTCCGACTGATGCACCGTAGCCACTGAACTTATCGCGATGGAATCCGAGTCAGAGCAAGAGCCAGAGTGTCTGTGGAAAAGGCCACCAGATACTTCAACGTTCACACTATAGAGGCACATGCTTCTTTCGGATCTGCCCTCCCCCAATTGTCTGGTTCCGAGATGTCGGTCACCCGATAATCGATTGGCCCACCGGTCAGTGAGGGCATTTTCTAAGGAAAACCAAACGAAAATACCCGTAAGGGGTGACTGTACGAGATGATCAGTGGTTGTGTCACCGTGGTACGATAGTCTAAGGGATGGGTTCAGCTGATGCAGCGCACCAGCAAGTGGTCGATTCAGTCCTAAATTTCTCCGCTTATCATTTAAGCCCAGGGACTAAAATGTCCTAATCAGATCAAAAGGGCCTAGCCGGACAGCAAATACAGGCGCCTTATCCTCCCATCGTTCTACTTTGCCCCCACCTACCAGCGTCGGTGTGTCGGCCGTTGCGGCTGCCCCCTCGCCGGGCCGCTAGACAAGTGTCGGACGGCCAGGGGGTCGACGCTTCGCTCCTTCTGTAACCAGGCTGGTAGGCAACAACAAGAACCCGCCACACTGCGTAACCAAGCCGGAACGAGACCGACAGGGTGGTGGTCGCGCATTGGCCACTGTAGACGCAGGCGCGCTTGGTATTGCAATGGAAATTTTTATGCATATAAAAAAAGCTCAGCCGCTTCAGTTTAACGTTTTTTCTTCTTCTTTTGATACGAAGTCCCACCAAATCAGTCCAAACCTTGTCCCGTTCTTATTTGGTTTTGGATTCATATACGCCTTACTGTTCTACTGAATAATTCAGCCTATTCCGTTCCATGCAATAACTGCTACACCGTGACAATATGAATGTTTTACCTGAAGCGACTACGATCATTAAGCTTTTGATGAAGATGACATGTCTATTTTTACCCGAGTAACAGATGTAATTAAAGTGAAGTAGACAACGGTGACAAGTCCTGCATGTTTTCATGTGGTGGTAGGTGTTGGTTATTGTAAGCCGTCCGTCCTATGCCGTCCAATGATCTGCTCACATTAAAAAAATTGGTCCGAACTCCGAACCTTTTGAATGGAAGGATTCACAAAGACATAGCCCCCGCTAAGCGAAGCTTGATGCGTTGACCCTGTCCTCTACCCTCCGATCGCGCAATTCCGGTACTATGCACAGTGATGCAAATGGGGTTCACGAGTGGCCATAAATACCCAAAAGTCAAGTTTACCAAATCGAGTTAATTGCGATATGGCCGAGTAGACAAATGTTTGGGGCATCTGAAATCACATGGTTTTCATGTTTTTGTCAAAACCGGCCTCGTGTATAATCGTCAGAAGTCGTGACATTTTCTAGGTCGCAAAATGACGGTCAGACACCCGCAAGTTCAAACGCCGCTGGTTTGCGTTCATTTCGTACAAATTGAAAAAAAAATATGCATGGGAATGATCCCCAAAGCCTTCTGCCTTTAATGCCGGGTCACAAAAAGCCGTATCTCATTCGCTTTGGCGGTAATCTGACTATTTATCATCATGTTGCAATCGCAGTTTTTTACTAAGAAAAAAAGCTTTCGTTTCACCTACAGCACTTAACACAGTGTGTGCCCGTTAGTCCACCATACCATAGCCTTCCATAATCATTTCTGAGTCGCATCGTGAAAGAATTACGGTGCTAGCACAGGGCTGACCGGCGCTACAGAGGTTTTTGTCCGGGCGGTCGGGTGCCGCAGTGGGCGCGCAGTGGGCGGGTGGGTGCCGCCGCGCGGCGTCCCGCCCGGGCCGCCCGCTGCGCCGCGGCACCCGACCGCGCCGGACGAAAACTTCTGTAGCGCCGGTCAGCCCTGTGCTAGCGCCTTAATTCTTTCACTATGCGACTCAGAAATGATTAGGGAATGCTATGATATGGTGCACTAACGGGCACACATTGTGTGAACTTCTCTAGGTGAATTGAAAGCAAATATTTTTGGTAAAAAACTGCGGTTGCAACATGATTACAAATAGTTAGCTCACCGCCAAACCAAAGTAGATACGGCTTTTTATGACCTGGCATTAGAAGCAACAGGTTTCGGGGATCATTTTCATGTATAATTTTTGCAGTTTGTATGACATGATCGCACGCTAGCGGCACTTGAAGTTCAAGTACCTGACAGTCATTTTACGACATCGAAAATGTCTCGACTTCTGACAATCATACACGAGGCCGGTTTTGACAAAAACATTAAAATCATACTTTTTCAGACGCCCCAAACATTTGCCTAACTGACCATATTACGATTTATTCGATTAAGTGAACTTGAATTTTGGGCCTTTTTCGTATTTATGGCCACTCGTGAACCCCATTTGCATCACTGTGCTATGGCAGACTTAGGAGTCCAAAGTTAAACGTGCGCACATAGCCACGCACGGCCGGTCCCCTCCCTGACTTCGCCTGGCTACAGCCTGTCACCAACCCCAGCCATACCTGTCAGGAGGCTCATAAACGTCAAGCGCCCGTCGCGCTTCGAACCCGGACTTTTGTGACCGGGACGCGTGCTCTTACCACGCGGAGTCCAAATCTCTACCGACTGAGCTATGGGACCGGCGATGGTTAGTAAGATTTGGTTGGTAATTTTTCAGAAGCGAACAATCTATGTATAGATTCGACTCTGAGGTTTTCCCGTAAATAAAGAAGAGATACTAGCAATCACACAGTTTTAGCGTAAATGTCGTGGAACTAACTAACTACATGAGATGGCACTACAAGCATGTTAGTGATTATCAAGTTTCAAACTCAATCGTAAAATCACTGCCGAGTTCATCCTCAGTAAATTGTTTGTATAGATACGAACAGCCTCTACACAGCCTCATCCAACAGTGCGTGCTTGTGGCACGCACACATCGCTATCGTGACTTCCTGACATGCATTAATTCACTCGGGTAAATCACGATAGCGACTTACTCACAAGTGTAAGTGTGTCGGAAATCGGCCCTTGTCACACGACAGTCGCCGGGTGGCAGCCGAGTGCCGGGTGGTCCTGTGGCACGCAATCCCCAACACCTGTTGACATTACCTCTGAGCCCCTCGTGTTGGCAGGGTGTGTGGAAATTCAGCGCCGACTGCATGACATGATGGATGACGTCACAGGTCAACTATGGAACGTAGACTAACAAAACGTCCGTCATCCATTTGTGAGTTGAGGTAGTTTGAAGTGGGGGCGTGTAGGTGGCAATAAGAAAGTTTGCAAGTTAGATACATAGGCGTGCATTTGCGGCGGTTAGAGCCAGCATTTATGGGTAGCACAGCTACGCAATTTGTTAGTTGATTGAGTGCAAAGTAAGAAAGCTTAGCAAAGTTTTGCCATCGAACTAAAGTACATACATAAGAAGCAATCTATTTGTCTTCCATGTAGATTTGCGGTGCCTTATGCCTCATAAGCGTGATAAAATTTTCATGTGTGCGTGTTTGAGATGTTTGAAAGCTACTTACCTACCTTAAGCGGTCATATTTTATGGCTCTTGTGCGAGTTGATGCTGTGACTACCTGTGGCGCAGTTTAGCAAGGTGCAACGGTGCATTTTGAAGCCGAATAAAATATCCTCGCTCGTAAACCTCTGTTGAAATGCAAGTTATGGTATGTGGTAAAAGCATATTTTGAAACTTTGTCTTACAACATTCAGCTTCGCATTGATTCATCTTTTATGCTGAGTGACCATTTCTCATTGACTAAGGTCGTTAGGTATACTACCGTTCAATATCTTAGTAGAGGCACATTGAAAACCGACAAAACATTGGTTATGTAATAATGACTTTGTTATGAGTTGTAACATTTTAATCAAGAAATTTTGCCGATAAAATATGATTTCAACAAAAGACCAAAAACATTACAAATGCTTAGATGAAACAATCATTTGAATTTCCTTCTCAAATCAATGTGTTTAACTCGAGTTAGGTTAGGTATAAATTACATTGAATAATGAATATTGTTCATTGCAATGTTTCCGATGGCGCTGCTCTATCAAGTGAGGCAAAAACATTCATTTCATCGTGTCAGCGTCCATCAAAACTAAAAACATGGCCTTTGTCGAAAGCCATTGGTAGCTCAGGGCTGAAATGTGGCTAATTAAATCATTCTTTTCAACCACCTGCCAGGGAAACTACCGAGGGCAAATGGCAGCCTTTTGAGTTCAGGTTTCGTTGAGGGACGCAGCTGGTGATTTTCGCCCTGTGAGGCCGCACGTCTGCCGTCCTCTGACCCGGCGTTACAGTGTCTCCTCGGCAGCGGCACGGACAGGGACGTCGCCGTGTTACGGCCAGGGTGACAGTCCTCGTATTGATCCAACAAACTGGCCAGCCGAGCTCTGCACCGTCGTTCAATGTCCTGCGGAGTGGCAGACAATGTCGTGCCGTGCCCCACCCCGCCCCGCCCCTTCTGTGCCTCCATGGGGCAGGTTTCGACCTCGACCTGGCCAGATTTGTGTGGCCAGCCGTTACCATAATAACGAAATCAATACATACAACAAAAGGCCGCCGACCGGGCCGTCGTAAACGCCAAACAATCGGCGCATAATGACACGGCAATCTGCAGCCGGCTGCCCGACTCTTTCGAAAACAGCCTGGCCACGGTCGAAAGGGTCCGTTTTTATTTGATTGGGCTACCCTTGAACGATATTGAATCACTGAACTTATTAGCAATCTGCGGAGAAAGGATTGTGATCTGTGATAAAGAAGTGATTGCTATGCGCATGAAATCTGCCAGGATCATAGCATTTACGAAAAACAAAAATAGACTTATTAGATGTATCGATGTTATAGATTAGTTGGAATGCATAGCGCTGTTTTTAATTTCCCTTAACCCGGTAAATGGTCAGGAGCTAGGTCGATCATGTTTACCGAAAGGATGTGTGTCTGAATGTTAGCACTATGACATATACGACGCATATGACATATACGACGAGAAGTTGGATTTGCCGTGCTTATCTTAACCTTCAAATTTTCAGCGCTCAATAATTCACTTTTATGGGTAGCATAAATTTGTGAAAAAGTTCGATATTCAATATTTGTTGCTATTTGCTGCTTATATATTTTGTCATCATCTATCTACATGCCTAGCTTTAATAAAAAGTGGTGAAATAGGGGGAAAAATTTATTTGCCCCAACAATCATTGCTAGTTCGATAGGGGGAATATTTGTTTCTGGTCCCTAAAAAGCTGTTTCTGGCACCTAATTGCTGATCAGCCCCAAAATGCTTATTCGACCCTAATATCTGAATCTGGCACCTAATTGCTTCCACACAGCCTTAAGTTGCCAGATCGTCTAGTTGAACTCCGTATTTGCTGTTTGCTGATTCAGCACCAAAACCAAAACATCCAGCACCTATTTATTCCACGCTTGCCTACCTAATTCGCGTAATCTTCCTGATTTTATGTATCCTAACAACATGAACGTTGCATTCGGTGATGTCAAGTGCCATTTTCGCCAGTGGAGATAATGATTAATGCCATTTCTAGCCAAAAGAGAATCACTAGCCAGCTATGGTGCACTGGTGCAGCGTAGCAAGACGCTCCTATACCAGCCCGCTATGTAGAGACTAGAGATTATTGCACCCTCAGCCATTTTAACGTGAAAAGTTTGGATCCGTCACTTCCAGCGAGGCTCTCAGGTCATAAACTGGAGTAAAGCAAAATGTCAACTCTGAACAGACATGCCACGCAACAGGCCCTCTTTTCAATATTATTAGCTTTCTGCAATCATCGTCTGACTCCATCTCGATCAAAGGCAGCATCCGGTTTCTACAGGGGCGTTTGACTGACCGGCCACACAATAACAAAAACAAAATCAAAGCTCACTGATGTTAGTTGTCGGGCTTTCGTCCCCGTCTTGAGTTGAGATGTTAGACGGGGACGAAAGTCGGGGACGAAAGTCCGACAACTAACATCAGTGATACTAACACCTCGTCTCAAGCATTCAGAAGAACTAAAATCAAAGCTTCATGCACACATATGTCATACGTAAGAAACGGATGAAAAAGGCACAACCACGGCACAACTCTGCGCGGCAAACAACGGACAATGTCCCACGCAAGATCCCGCGTTTCTTCAGCGGCCTTGAACGGAATGAAAACATTACATTTCTTTTTTGGAGCTATTTGATGACGTCAAAAAATACAATACCCGTTTTAATGGTCAAAATCGAGACAATTACTCACAAAAATGTTTCCCTTTAAGCATTACAAATAAATACTTTTAAATATGCAAATGACATTGTTTTTTTCAAACAAATTAATATTATTTGCTTACTTAAACGTCATATACAATGCTGAGATCACTACGGGGCTGTCTTAGAGTGTAGCTGCACTGGCAACCTTTAGGCTAGACTCCAGGGGTCATTATACCAGAACAACATGATTCTACCAGCCAGTAGTTCATTTTTCTACTAGATTGGTGCTACGCTCAGCATTTAGGTGCCAGATTCAGAAAAAAGAGTAAGGCGTACCGATGAATAGGTGCCAGAAACAGCTAATTAAGGTCATTTTCCATGATTGGTGCTGGTATCCACCAAATAGGTGCTGAGGACCAATTTTGGGGCGAGTCAGCTTTTAGGTGCCAGAAATAGCTTTTCTGGGACGCAATTAAATGGCGTCCGTTCGATAATGGAAGTAAATACCAAGTTACCTGAAAACCGTAGAAAAGTAAGGCTTTTACTGAAAACGAATGAGGTTTTATAATAATGTGATAACTCTATCAAATCTGTCATGTAGCTCAGTTGGAAGAGGAGAGCCTTAGGCTACCGGTGGTAAGAGCCCGGGTTTGAGTCGATCCGGCGCTCGATTTACGAGACTCTTGACGGAAATGATCTACCGGGCTGTGAGAGCGACCACAACCAGTTGAAGTTAATTGAGTGCGCCGGACCACATCTGGCTTTGATGGACTCGCTAAGTCTCGCTACTCGCTACTACTCGCTATCCTGCGCATGACTGGGGGGCTCTACAGAGCCCCTTCCCATTTTTCGGCAATATCTTCCAAACCGTTTAACGTATCAACACGAAACTTGACGTACCTTCAGCAGCATTAATTTGACACTTTATATACAAATTTCAACTCTCTTACTACCATAGGTCGACCGAAAATGACGTCAGAGTGACGGAATGTCGACCGATTTTTAAGCAAAACATTGAACTACGCAATCGCTCTCAAGAGCTCAGTTTTCAAGCTAGATCTAATTTCTTTGCATTAGTGGACTCAAAAGGAACATGGCTATCAAACTACTCTCCTTGATTTTCAAAATTTTGAAAATTTCTTAAAATATACATATACAATTACAAAAAAAATTATAAACGTTTTTGCTTTTTCAAATAAACCAGAATATGTATATGCAATAGACCATCCATCGATGACCAACTTTAAAGCATTTGAGCCCAATATCTTCAAGAATGGCCAAGTTATACGCATTATAGTTAAAATTTCACAAATATAGATTTTTAAATTCATTTTGCAGTACGTCTTTGACATCATACAGCAATATGTTTACCACCAGCGTGTTTATGAGCTCAAATTGCATCTGATAGGCACCTTTTTTGTTGAAAAATTTCATTTTCAAAATTTGACCTTTTTTTACCCGAAAGTGGCCTGACTGTAAATTCAGCTGAAAATGACCTCAAATGACACAGACGACATTGTTTTGAAATCTTTGAGTAAAATGGACCATAAAACATGCGTCACGTGACCGATTCATGATATAAAATTACCGTGACCTAGGATGACCTAGCTTTGACCTTAAAAATTCGAAGTACAAGTTCAGCAAGGCATATATCAAGGAGTGCGTAAACCAAAAAAGAGCCTGATCGGACTTGTTAGCCGGCGGCCAGAGCCTGAATTGTGAACAAGCCAAAATGCTGATAATTTTTACTTTGATCTGACCTTTGACGTCAACTGTGACCACGAGGTCAATAAAATTAGGTTCGTCTCGACAGTTTTTCCAGGGCTATCAGATGCTGTTTGAACTTTTGACGATCGGCCTAGTGGTTTCGGAGATAGGAGGGGTAGCTCTGTTCAAGTCCCCCCCCCCCCCAGTCACTCGCGTTATCGAAAATACCCCAGCCATGCGCGGGTTAACATCCAAACTCTACCGATCCCAGGAATCAAGTCTGATCGGGGGCCTCGTAACAAGATATGTTTAACTTAGGCTCCGGCTCGGTCAATCAGCCTTTTTAACCGTTTGAGCTAAGTCCACACTCCATATGAAGGCTAATGATTAAGTAATATACATATCATGACGTCGATGATTCTCGTCAATCGTGGGAAAATGAACATCTTGTGCCAATTAACGTCCGTGGACTTCTCAATTGTCAATGTGTCACATGCTAACCTCTCCCGAGGTCTCATAGTTAGGTATTGCCATAGTGCCGGTTGCGTGTTACGAATAAAAACGAAACCAATTGCCAGTTGCGTGATACCAACAACATCTCTTTGCTATGCATAATTATAGCTAATGAAACACACTTTTTCCACATAGGTGTATCATTATGTGACGGTTGATAGTCACGTGTATTTGACATAGTCGCTAATAATTTTTGCTACATTTTTTAACGTTTCGCGACGGTACAGATGCTTTATGCAAAAAAAAAACACTTCGATATGAACAAAATATAGATTATATCGGATTAAACAGCTGCATATGAAGTAAACGAACAATATACCTACCATGTTGGGAAAAGAGTGTTTGCCCTTATTTACGCATTTGCGTAAATAAAGGCGCCCATCTACATTCGGCATAATATAGGTATTCCTGCCCGGGGCCGGGATGGTTCAATAAATGTCACCGAGGTTTTTGAGCGAAAACTCCAAGGGCCGTTAGGCCCGAGGTGATTTTGCTAAAAAAGGCGAGGAGACATTTACTTAATTCCCGGCCTTAGGGCTGGAAGGTGTTTCCCATACCTGCCAAAAAGCTCACAACTATATGATAGTGACGTCAGCAGCCGTGTGGTTCAACGTGTTTAACCACACCCCTTGAACCACACGGCTTGTAATATGTATTAAAGCATTGCATTAACTCTCGCCGGACCTATTGGTTTTCTACATACGCGCCGGCCGAGGGGGTACGACCCCCTCGCCGTTTCGCCCCTGTTGGAGCTAGCGCGTCGCAGAAAAAACGAGCGTGTGCGCCGTTACGAGACGAAGAGATTGGTACCCGATTTTAAGGGATAGGTCAACCGGTGACCTCTGAGGTCAGGTCAAGTGCCCCAAGGTACGGTTCAGATTTTGGTGAATAACTTCGCAAAAAACGGACGCAGAGCCGCGATTTTGGCAGCATCGTGTTCGCCTCGCTCAGGCGCGTCGAATGATATACTTTTTGTTCAGGTCAGGTCAACTTAGGGTGTTGACCTCAGGTCAAGGTCAGGTCAGCACCCCCAGGTCACGAAGTTGGTCGAAAGAGGTCATGTCGCATATCATTCGATTTGGTCCTGAGTCCGTTGGTGGCTTTCCCGACTCGCTAGCTCAATTTGATCGGGAGTTATTGACGAAAAACTAATATGACCTTGATGACGTCATAAATGACTTCACGCAAGGTCAACATTGCAAAAGTGACGCATCTAATCTTGCAAGGAGTGCATCAAATCACGATTCTGTGTGCTTGAGATAGTTGGAGATCGTTCCCGGCGCCAGAATAGCAGTTTTCATTTTTCCCCATTGACTTATAATGGTGAGGTCACGAAAATGACCTGACCTCATATGACCTTCAGGAAAAATCCGAGATATACAAGTTGTGAGACTCATAATTGATACTAGATCCTGCAAGTTTCATTTCCCTGTGACATCTCCTCTGGCAGTGAGGGCGTTGCGAAGTTGCGACATCTGAAGGCCGTGCAGAGGTTCACTTATGACGTTATAGGTCAGTGACCTGACCTGACCTGACCCAAAAATGCGGTTGGTGTCAAAAGATCTGGCTTGAATCAAAGGTCAGGTATGCTAAGGTTCAGCTCTCTATCGCCAGCGTGTTCGGAGCTATCGCAAAAAACCCTATGGGGGGGGGCGGCATCCGCCCTCCCCCCCCCCCCTCGGCCGGCGAGGGTTAAACTTTGAAAAGTGTGGTACAGTGCACGTGCCGTTTAAATGCCTAGATGTCTCGATTTAATCATGCAATGTAGCAGGTATGGGAAACAATAAAACGGACCATAAAATTGTATGCCTGTAATACAATGCACAACTGCAATCGGGCAACAGAAAAATAATGCATATGTACATAGGTACAATCATACATGCTAGAGACCACAAAACCAATACTTTACCATTATACTACATAGTATGCTAGAAGACTCATTCGTCATAGAAAAAGCTTTTGTCACAAGAGTTTTATCGACGAATGCAAGATGATGAACTGATTGGCTGTAAATAACAGTCATGTCAGTTACTTACAGTAAACTCAATCATCAAGACTCTCAGGCCTCATCGGCTCACCATCTGGACTTGACCTGACGCGGGACACTATAGCTTCCTATTATTCGCCGAATGACACTGCACGTAGCATGTCAATGTCATGCAAGTAATACCAGCGACACTGGACAACACACCAATAACACTGCACGCTATACCTGAATGTATGACGGGTGTGACACCATGAGATGTGACACAGTCACACACCTAACGATCAGCCGCCTCGCAAGGTCCGAACGACTCACACACTCATAAATTTCTTCTGAAGAGAGTGAACCTCCCTGCATGTGTTTTTCACTTTTATGACCATTCACCAGCATATTTTCTTAAAGTTAGCACTGCACCGATAACAGAACGACGGTTAGTTCGCTCCCTTCCCCTCAAAGCTGCACCCCTTCAGGGGTGCGCGGTTGACCTGGGTCGGGACGGCGCCTGGGACGAACAGCTCGGTTCGCTCATCAGCGCAGATTCCGTAGAGAAACTGCTGTCGTTTGTGACATCTCTTGCGGCCGCGCGTCGGTTGCAGGGAGGTCGGGATACCACGCGGCAAGCCTGAAACGAATGACCTTACATATATCACTGGTTGGCGACGTCAAATCATATGAAAGACATCATATTGCAATGGATGACATTACATGGTGACATTACATATCACTTAACAGTTAACGGTGTATATTTGTTAGGTGAAGTCGTGTTAACGATGCAGCAGTTATATCATTTCGCTAGTAGTGACGGGCTCAAGCCGGTGCACCGGGTTGAGCGTCGCCGTTGCTGAGTCATTCCAGTGGAATCTGAGTATCCTGGTGAGATAGCTCATCCATATGCTCATGAGTTTGAGCACCAAACTCCTTCATGACAACTTCCCTGGTGGAGGCTGCGGACGGTCACCTCACCACACCAGACGTACATACACCCCTGATGGGTGTGATCCTACTGGAGCTACCATTCTTGGTCGTCAGGAGGAGTGGCCGTCAGCCCAGCTGGAGCGTGATCAAGTATGAGGGTGGGCTAATCATGAGGACAGAGAGGACGGATATCGATCATCCTGGCCAATTCCTGGCTATACAATGCTTACCTGCAGGTTTCCTCTCGCACTGTAGCTCAGGCTGGTCCGGGATCGCAGCAGCAGCACCAGACAGAACACGACGTAGAAGGTGATGACCAGAACGGCGTACACGGTGCCGTACCACGAGGCGGTGCTGTGCAGCGACTCCATTTCACGCAGGTAGCGAGCCTCACACATCCGCCCCAGCGCCATCTGCATGCACGCGTCCGAAACTGGCTCCGAGGGCGCCGCCGTGTCCGCGGTAGGTGGCGCTGTGGTAAAACTCATCGGCGACGGAAGACGGGTCGTGCTTGGAAGCTCCATGGTCTGCCGAGAGTCGTGATCTGAAATGAAATAAGAAAGAGTCTTACTAACATTGCGAACACCTTTCCATGCTTCTATCCTCAGGATACTGAAATCCTTCTCCTCCACGCCGCAACCCCCTCCGGGCTGGACAGGTAACTTTATCTCAATCTCATGCGGGCTGCTCCCTTGGAGCGGCACCGCTGCTCCTGAGGGAGCGCACCCCGTAGCCGGGTGCAGTGAGTGCCTTGGGGCTGGGTGGCCTGTCCTCTGGACGGGCTCAGCCTCGGCGACTCACTAGGGTGCCTGCCCAGACCAATGTCTCCCCCTAATTCCTATCATCCTTCCGGCTCTGCAATGGTCTTGTCGACCGAAAGGGCCTAACCCAACAAAAAAAATAATAATAACATTGCGAAACCATATGCAATTGCCAGGAGCATTCCCTTTTTATTTGATGATTGATAAGCAGTCAGGATATGAAAAAAAGTTTTCGGGGACTTAAAAAATGGCACGATATTGAAAACGGTGACAACTGACAACACGTAAGCATTTTTAAGTTTAAACAGACATGACCTGGGAGCTTCATGGTTTTAATTTTTAGGCGCGACTGAAAAAACGGCGTGAGTGCGTATTCTTTATTGTATTCCCGCCATTGATCCCATTTGAGACGCCGTTTTACTTGGTGCATGGTGATGGGATAACACAAGAACGACACAAAGAGCCAAAGGGGTTGGTATATAAAAGAAGAGGACTCCGGAGTCTTTCCAGTGTCTGTCGAAAAGTTGACACGAAGATCGTAAAGACCAACAAGAGCCTAGAAACCTCTAGGGGATAAAAAGGCTGTCATAGAAAGGCATCTGACTCATCTTTATTCGGACCAAAGAAGGTATGTTTACGTGTAATGTTTATCCTACAGCCAAACGCTAAAAGGTCAGAGGATGTTTGCAAAACATTGCCAAACACGCGGAGAATGAGTGACAGCTATCAAACACTATTCGGAATTCCGGATGTGTCTAAATGTAACAGATAAATGAGGTTCCAGATTTAAGTCCATACGGTTTGTAATATATCTGCCATATGAGCATGCAGAACAAAGACGGATCTCTGCATCTAATCGGTGCCGTGAATGATCGCCAAAGTCGGAAGAGCATTATCTGACCCTTTCAAGCGTCGCAAAGTTACAAGGACAGGCCTAAGTTGCCTAAAAGTGGCTGTCCACTGGTTAGGCGCCCATTGTGCGCGTAATTGTTCGGTGCTTAGAGCGCACTGAAAGGTTGAAGCGTTTCAAGTCGTCAGGAGAAGTAAAGTACATACTCTTCAATCGTCAGCGCGTGCGTCGGCGCCCAACAGGTGACCAATGATCAGCTGACTGCGTTTTATCGCGCATTCGGCACTGAACTGCATTCGGCGAGCAGCTCATGCACCCTAGAGTGTATGAGCAAAAAAAGAAAACACGCGCTGAATTTAACATTATATAATGTTAAATTCAGCGCGTACTCAAACAGTGGACGGCGGCCTGAAGTTTTAACGCCTATCATCTGCCAACAGTTGGAATTCCCACCCCCGCTCATCGATTCGTACTGACGGTCGAGTTAAAAACAATTGCGGCCACTCCTTCCGTGCTCAGCGACTTTTGCTGCCGGTTAGCAGCTATCCGACGCGCCCTCGCTAAACTACCGGCCAAGTTCTGCTCTCCCCTGGTACAAAAAACTTACCATTACTTCTAGATCCGCACGTATGCCCGAGCGTAAAATACACCGAGCCGCGCGGGCTGTGCTATGCGGCGCAGCATCTATTAGGCGCCTACTTTACGAGACATCTAGCGGCAGGCGTTGAAACTACAGTGCCGTGCGGTACAGCATGCGGCAGGCGCTAGCTTTGAAAAACTGTGTCAGGTGCGCCGGTGTCTGTGCGGGCCATGCGTGTCTAATACATGTAGGTATTTGTGCTATGTTTGCATCTGTGTCTATATTTGTGTATCTATAAGACACAGCTATTTATTATTCAATTACTGTACACTGTAAAGAAAAAATGGCTGCATCAAACGTTGACTTTAACCACTACTCTGCTGCCACACTGCGCCCTTGGCTGCCTGCGAGCCGATGTCTGTCTTTGCTTGAAAGAAATGTGCTTGTGTCTGTGTTGCTGTGCCTGTGTCTGTGCCTCTAAATTCCTGTGTGTACGCCTGCGACTGAGCCTGTGTCGTGTGCCTATGTCTGCGCCTGTGTCTGGCAGTCACCGTGCCTTCTATGCGCTTGTAGGTATTTACTGTGTCTGTGTCTGCCGGTCACTGTGCCTGCTTCTCTATGTGTCTATCCCTGTGTCTGTGTGCGTATGTGTCTGTGTATGTGTCTATCCCCCGTGTCTGTGTCTTTTTGTGTCCGTGTGTGTCTTAGTCTATGTGTGTCTGTATCTATTTCACGTGTCTATGTCTGTACGTGTCTGTGTCTGTGTCTCTGTGTGTCTGTGTGTGTCTGTGTGTGTCTGTGTGTGTCTGTGTGTGTCTATGTGTGTCTGTGTGTCTGTGTGTCTGTGTGTGTCTGTCCGGCCCGCTATCCGATCGGTAAACAGAGACGGTGTGCTATCCGCCCGCTCCGGGGCTGGCCGCCATCTGTCGAGCCAACAATGACGCTGCCAGCTCCCGGCACAGGCCAGAACCACTCACACACAACGAGCTTCTATGACTGTGACGCACGAGAGAGAGAGAGAGAGAGAGAGAGAGAGAGAGAGAGAGAGAGAGAGAGAGAGAGAGAGAGAGAGAGAGAGAGAGAGAGAGAGAGAGAGAGAGAGAGAGAGAGCGACCTCTTGATCTTCAGGCTGAAGAGATCATCAGGCGTATCGGAGCTCCCAGCCAGCCGACTTATTTTTCCGGTGAGAAGTGGGAATGAGTAGGTGTGTCGTTCTTCTGACCTGACAATCTTCTCTCTGATTGACTGCTGCCGGGTAGCGAGGTGGGAGTGTGTAGGGGGAGGGGTCGAGGATGTGAGGGGTGGATGAATCGCGACACACCGTCACTCTGGACCGAGTGACCCCCCACCCCCCCACCCCCGCCCCAGCCCACCCCCACCCACCGTGCTGTTCGCTGATCCGTTCAAACATCACTAATGAAAGGTCAGCGGTGGACTCTGGCCAGACAGGTATCGGGCTGACGCCACCAGCATGGCAGTGCAGACCACACGGATGTGAGGGTAACGTGAGATAACGATCACTGGAACTGGCGGTGGTCCAGGCAGGTCAGTTTTCATTCAGGTTATTTTCTTTCAAAGAGTGCCGGCTCATGAAAGACAGGTTCTTTGTGAAGGCAAAAGTCACAAACAAACTCATTATCGCTATCAAGCGAAAATGCGAAAACAGTCAACAACTCGATGCATATTGCATAATGCATCTTCTCTCATCACTTTGTCCCTATTTCCTCAGGCCTCACCCATGAGAGAATCGGCCTGGGGCGTAAGGAAATGAGCGCATATTGTTCCATTCTGTTGTTTGCGCCATCCTGCGGCGCATGTTATTCAGATAATGGTGGTCTGCGTTTGCTCTCTGAGTGACGACAGACACAAGACGATCGATGAGGGACGACCAGCGCGAGACCAGCTGGGCCATTGGGAGCTCAGCGAAACGCTCCGCCAAAACGGAGGCGCCATCAGTCGAACACATACACTAGTGCTACCAACAAAAACAGTCTTTGAAATACATCACCCGAAACTGAACTGGGTCGTCGAGAAGATTTTACAAAGAAGATCGCACGACCGTTCAGCCTTTCTGTCTATTTTTACAGTCGGTCCGTCCAGGACTTCCAAAGCAACTAGATACGGCCAATAAATATATGGGAGACATGTGATGTTTATAGCATTCCACGCCACTCGGCAGACAATTCGTCACGGTCTCGGTCCGGCTGCAGTGTGCCAACAACTGCCGTGAGCCACTCTCCGTAGGCTATGTCTGAAGATAAAGGCTTCAATCTGCTGGTAGCCCGAGGTCCACAGCTTTCAAAAGCAAACTCGATATGTGAATGAAGTAATCGAGGCTTGGGATGAAAGTTCTTGATAACAGTGTACTCATTGATTCTTACAAATACGTCGGCAAATACCCGCAAATTTTCCTAACTCTTTTTCCTAGGTTAAAATAATGCCCTTAATAACAAGTGCTCTCATACCGTAATATCCATATATGTACTGGCTTGTTGTCAAGGCCTTGAACATTAAAAGAGAAGAGTATCGTTATAAATAAGCTTATGGGTAACCGGGTGTACGATATGGCGCAACAGCTGCTCTGAGCGCTTCCGGAGACGCGCCTCTTATTACATCTAAGTCATGAGACTTTCCACCGTTTCGGTGGTTATTATCGTAAACGGGAGGCACAAAGGGATAGCTAAACAATTAAACATACATATAAAACTAAATAGCATGGTACTTCTGTTTTTTTTTTTAATGAACAGACGAGATCTACTAAGAGCGTCAGAGTTGCTAACTTGGATGACAGGGTCTCTTGATACTTTTACCTGTCTTCTGCGCCTAATGCACTTCACACATTTGCCATCCTATTAGACGCCAGCCGGCGCGACAATTATCTGGCTAAAGGCAGCAAGCCGGCTTTTATTGGCTTCGGGCTCCCCAACCTCATTGTCTGTCACTGCTTACCTAAATTAAGAACACCAAAGCCGAGTCAAACTAAAATTTTGCAAGGTGTCCGAGGTGTGAATTCATGGTTCTCTAAGTTGACGTTTGTTGCTTGTTGCTGTTCTTGTTGTTGCTTTTGTTACTTGATGACGTTGTTTTCCCGCCTGCCAGCAAATGGCTGTTTTGTTATTGACATTGTGTCGTTCAATTTGGCATTGGGATCAGCGTCCTAATGCTTGCAAGTCGCAAGTGAATGGAACAAATGGCTAATTATCATCCGAACATTCTCACTATAATAGGTATACTGAAAGCTGAGGATTATCAATAGACAGGTGTAATTTCATGCGTATTTTCCCCTTTTAACCCTATTAGTGGCAGGGGGTTGTTTTTATCCACCCCTCAGGTTTTTTCGGGAATATCTCCAA